TAGAAACAGCCAAATCCTTACACACACTTGAACCTAAAATAATCATTCATAAGATTGGAAAAGGTTGAAGCGAATCACAAGGGTGTTCACAGTGGACTGTGTTTACATTAATCTGGCGTCATAAAAGCATTCTGAGCCGAGGTGAAATTACAGACTCAGCCGAACGCACAAGCGCTCTTCTTCATGAGTGTTTGAGTGTGTGGATAAAAACTAGAGTCATCTGCTGTTAAAATATAAGCTCAGAATCCATTCCAGAGAATCACCATGCATTCGGAAGATCTCAGAATCGATTCCGCATCGATTTACTGTCCTACGAATGAAGAATGAAGCTCCTATGCTTGAGAAGGGCTCTGTGAAGCCAGAAGCTGGCCACATGGGTCGGGTGCCAGGTATACCTTACAACACTGATCAGCTCTGTCAGAGTCCAGTACCTCGTATTAAGAAAAACGCAAGCAAGTTTGGAACAGCGGCACGTGATTAAATTGTGTGAAATTTAGTGCTGGCCGATACGCTAGATAATCATATCATCCTAACGTCAGCCTGTGAGAATAATGTGTTTTTTTTACTTTAAACCGCATAAACACATTTCATTACACCAAATACACAAAATACTGTTATTTTTAGCAGCGTCATATGACCTCTTTAAGAGATGTGCTTTTAACATAGCTTTGAAAACCGGTAGTGAGTTAATAGATCTGATAGTACGAGGGAGGTCATTCCACAGTTTTGGACCGGCTCGTGAAAAGGCTCTATCTCCCCTGTGGTTGTATTTTGTCCTAGTAACACAAAGGATGTGTTGATTTTCGGAAAAATTATGAACACAGTAATCGAGATCGCCCCCTTTCCAGCGGTGCTCTTACGCTCCTCCATAAAAGCCCAATTCCACGCGCAAATCAGTAAAATCAGTCACGAGACTTTCGCAAAACGGGACGTGCTTGATTTATTAAAGTATATTAGATTTATTCATGTTTTTAAAAGCGTGAAAGAGAGCTTGCGCTGTTCCTCGGGAGGATTACTGTGTATGCGCTCAAAATCAGAACAAAGTCAACTTTTAACGCCAATTAAACGGTCAATTACACGCAAAAATGTGTCAAAATGCAGTGATTAGTGATTATTCACATAAACCCTCGTCGGTTATGTAATAAATGAATGTAAAGCGTTGAGAATGAAAATATGTGTGTAACAGTAAATTGGATCCGTGCAGCTCTTAAAGTGACAGCAGCCTAACATTCCTGCTGCGACCGTGAGCTTAATATTAATCAAACAACAAATACAAAATATCTCCCTGCTCTTGGCTGAAAGACTTTTGTAGCTTTTGTAACAAAGGAAGTTTAAATCTTACAGTGAAGACTATGCTGTTTTGTTATTCAATTTATCTTGTAGGCTACTTTAATACTTTAGACTTGCATTAAAAACGTAAAGCACAGTTTGTTTCATTTGTATCTTTTTTTATTCCATTGTATTACTTTGCTTTTTTAGTACAGTTTAATTATTTTCACTAATTTTGAGGACCTTTTGTTGTTGTTTTTTTAACTAATATTAGTTACTCTAGTACTCTGCTGTGGTATTGAGAATTGTGACATTTCGCTGGTCTCTAAAATGTAGATGTCATTGCAACCTTATTTACAGGAAATATATATTTGATATATATCACTATCTTTAAATAATCTTCCGTATAAATATATATATAGGTTTTTTATTTCATGTGGGGCCATTGACTTCCACAGTATGTGTTTCTTCAGTAGGCTACGGTCAACTATAGCAACAGCTATTTTATTAGGGGAGAAAATGCAATTTGAGTTCTCCTTCAAATCATACAGCCCTACTTTACAAGCTTCATTTACCCTTGCTGTGCTTAGTGAAGAGAAAACTGGACATTTAGCCCACTTCTTATAAAACACAAGGATACTGTACATGGTCACTCAGCACAAAGCCCCAGCATTATGCTGTTGTTTACTGTAACTGTAAGAGAGCAATGTGTGTCTAATGCACTTCTCAGACAGACTGCGAGTCAAACTCTTGCTGCACATTCACACGAGACTGCTTCACTCCTGATACTGTCCTTTATTTTATTGTGAAGTCTTTTCCAGGTTAATACATCACACAACGCCACATTTGGACCGCAGGACTTAGGGTTTAGTTCACCGTGTAACACTGGCCTTCTGATCAGCACACACTCACTGCTGTTTCTGTGCGAGATAGCTTGCAACATTAAAGTGCTGGTCTCGTGTGATTTATCTGATCGTTTATGTTGCTGGAAGTGTAGGGTAAACTGCATTATGGGATACGAGATCACAGGCAGTGTGCAGACCAGACACAGTATATCCAGAAACAGTGCTATTCTCATCACATACACGATCAAGCGCTCCAGTGAAATCTACTTCTGACACGGGATTATTACATTATTATCACTATAAACGCCGCTTAGGTGCGTCAAATTATGCGTTTGGATCTGCCAATAACAAACCAGCAGTTCAGATGTATGTGTGTGTTCTGGACTCGTGAAAGCGAGTGTAATGTGGTTCATCATGATTTTTTATTCCATTGTATTACTTTGCTTTTTTAGTACAGTTTAATTATTTTCACTAATTTTGAGGACCTTTTGTTGTTGTTTTTTTAACTAATATTAGTTACTCTAGTACTCTGCTGTGGTATTGAGAATTGTGACATTTCGCTGGTCTCTAAAATGTAGATGTCATTGCAACCTTATTTACAGGAAATATATATTTGATATATATCACTATCTTTAAATAATCTTCCGTATAAAGTGTTGGTCGTATGACCCACGAATAAGCGTGATTATGAGCAGGCCTAGCTCTGTCTGCTCACACCGAAGCGCACCCGTTTGGTCTTAACGTGACTGAACGGACAAACGCAAGAAAAAGTACGTCGGAATTATTCCTTCCATGTTTTTAATAATCATAACTCTACAGTTAGTTTATATAGTGAAGACTACGCAGTATTATTTTACATCCAGTTACTTAATTTCAGTAGTGTCTTACCTAAATATTATTGATCGAGCTATCGGAAAAACTTCTTTATTTGTACATTTGTTATATTGTTTATTTGTGGTATTTCTTGCCATTTCTTATTTGATTACTGAGTGTTTGCTTGTCTTTAATAATGTTTGAACATTGTATTACTTAAGCTAGAGGTTTTGTTTGTGCTATAAGAATCAGAATCAAGAATTGTGAAATTTGATCAGTAAGGCTTTGGTGTGAAAACAAGCTGTTTGGCAGGGTATATTAAAATCTGAACCATCTAAATCCTGAGTGTCCTGCCCTCTTACTATTATTATTACTACCACTACTACTTTATAGCAACCTGGTTTTATTATATA